CCGCTCCGCGTCGGCGTCGGCGGCGGCGGGGTTGCTCCCTCCCTCCCTTTAACGGGGGCGCGTTGGAGGGCACCCGCTGCCGTCGCGCTCCGCGTGAAGGCCGCCCCGGAGGCCACCGTGAGCGTCGGGCGGACGACCCTCCCGATTTTGCTCCGACTATCCTCCGCGGCGGACTTCTCGGAGCCCCGGACAAGCCCCTTAACGGCGCTGCCACTTCGATGCTTCAGGACGGACTTTTTGGGTTCCTTGGTGCCTGTCGAGGGGGTGTGCTTGGAGGATGTCGCAGCCGCCCCCCCTGGGCTGTCCGATCGCCGCTTAGGTGAGCTTGATCGCACGGAAAGCAGCGCTGTGACGGCGACGTGGAGCTGACGAGCCAAGATGTAATTTTCGGTGGCGGCCTTAGAAAGGTCTGCAACGGCGGCGAGTTCCCTGACGTCAGGGACTTGGCCGCCACACTGCTGCACTGTGCGCATAATGTCTTGTAATAAGGACCTGGTCTTGCGTAGGGCGACGATCACTGAATTGGTTTCCGCAGAGTCGTTCGTCTTAGAGCCTCCGCTACCACTACCCCGCTTCTCGGCTCCTTCGCCCTCGCGGGCAGCTGCCGCAGCCAAGGCGCTCGCGCGAAGTCGCCTGTTCTCTTCCTTTACCCGTTCAGCCTCTTTTTCTATTTGTCGATTGTAATGTTTCAAATACTCATGGTCCTGTTTTTTCGCGCGCAGCTCCGCCTGGGCGTCCTCGAGGGAGGCTTGCAGGGAGGCTTGGATCTTGGCGAAGTCATTCATATCAGTTTCCATCTCAAGCAGTTGGCGCTGGAGTTCCTCGCAGCGCTGTGGAGAAGATTGAAGCTCCGCACGCAGCCGTTCTAATGCTTCCTTGCCCTCTTCCATAAGCCTCTTTTCATTTTCCTTGGCAACTTCCCTGCTTTGCCGCAGAGCGGTTTCTAGAGTCCGCAGACGTCCGATCAGTATATCAGCTTTGCCCTGAACCCCCACTGCAGTTTGGCGTTCCTTTGCTGTCAATATCCCATCCAATTGGTTTTCTAATGCATTTATTAACTTATCGGAGGAACTTTGCAAAGTCTGGACACTCTTTTCCGGTGTTTTTGCGTTGTTTGAGAGGGTAGTGCCTTGAATAGCACCAGTCAACTGGCGAAAGATTTCTACGTGCTCCTCAAGATACCGCAGCGAGTAGTGAAAGGAGCAAGAAGAGAGTTTTTGTGCGATATTCTGGCATACCGTCTCCCTCTCCCCTGCAGCCCGAAAACAAGCAAGCTCAAGTTTGAGATCCAGGGTGGGAGCCTGTGTGGAGGACAGCTTCTTAGAGATCATCGAGGCTCTAGAAATGCGCACTGGTACCGTACCAGTAGCCATCGAAGCCTCGCACAGAAGCAGGCGATACAGCGTGGCGACAGCCACACTACATCTTTCAGGCGCCGAACTCCCAGAAGTTGAGACGCTGGCAAAAAGGGCAGCAGCATCAGCCTCCGACGCCGCTGAAAGCGATAGGGGTAGCCTCAAGGCAAATGTTTCGACGACGGATTCCGGCATCGCGGTGCCTGTGTCCTCGTGTAGCTTTTTGTTTTTCTCCTGTCGTAGAGCCCGAAGGCACTGCTCCAACTCTGTTCTCTGCTGTTCAGAAGTCATAAGTTGTCTTTCGACGGCTTTGAGTCGTGATTTTGTAGCCTCGACCTCCTTGTGTGCATCCTCAAGTTGTTTCGCGTAGTTGTCTAGTTTCTGAAGTTGAACAGCGGACTCCTCTAGTGCCTTTTGGAGGGTGGCGTTTGCGCTCTCGGTTTCAAGGCGTTGCATTTCAAGTCCCGCGTAGACACTCTGCACTGTGGTCACAGCTTCCTCCAAGGCCACATCAACATGCCGTTCGGTGGATTCCTGTTCTCGATTCCGCTGGCCAAGCAATCTCTGTAGTCCGTCAACCCTCTTCTGAAGTGCTTCAGTCTGTTGAATCTTGGCGTGCAACGTCTCTTCTGCATCACGTGCTGTGGCTTCCGCAATCTCAAGCTGCCGCACAAGTGCGCGCTCCTTCAAGCTCTGCAGCTCGTGATAAGGGTACCTGTAAATGAGGGAATTGATTTTGTCCTCTTCAATAGATGTACCATGCTGCACATCAAGCTCGATGCTCACGCCGTGTCTGTCTCCGATTAGTTGCGTTTTTGAGATAGTGACATAAGAGCGGGGAAGGTGCAGTGCAGCCGAAGTTGCGCTGAGAAATGCGTCGGCAAACTTTTCTGGTGCATTTAGAAAAGCCAACACTACCTCTTTGCCCACAAGAAGGTGGCAGTGGTGCGTTACGACAAGCTTGTCTTTTGTGCTATTGGACTTTGCATCGGCTTCATCGTTTATAGGCAAGGGAAACGTAGAAATCATACTTGTATGTTCTTTTTTAAGCTCCTCCTCAACAGCGCGGTACCGAGTCTGCACATCCGTGATTAACTTTTCCTTTTGATCAAGAAGCATCCGCAACCCATCCAGTTGTTCAGTGTACCGTTGGCAGCTTTGTGAGCTGACCTTCGCGTCATGTTTTGCGCTCTTTAGCTCAACCATCATGTTTCTTCTATCCTCCTTTGATTTGTCCAGCTGCTGTTCCAGATCTAGAATTTGCGCCCGAAGCTTGGTGAGTTCCCTGGCGCTAGACGGGACAAAGCAGTCGCATAGAACGTCACCGGAAGGGACTGCGTAAGCCTCCTCGAGATTGGCTTTGTGAACACACTCGAACTTCATAGCCGCCAGTTTCCTCTCTAGCTCCTGATACTCTGCCTGTTTCTTTTCAATCGTCTTGCAGTACTCAATTAAACGCTGCTGCTGCCTCATGGCGGCGTCACGAACTGCGTCCATCAAAGCGGCCGAAGTGGACGGCACTACACCGAGTTGTCTAGCACAATCTTTAGTACGCATTTTTGCACTGTCCTGGTCCTTCTTACCACCGTTAGTGTTTTGGTCGTCTCGCTCACGTAGCTTTTCAGCATTTCTCAAAACTATCAGCAACTCTTTCAGACAGGCCTCGTACTCACAGACACGCCTAGTGAGTGTGTATGCAAGGGCGTCTTTTATGGGTTGTTCAGCCAGCAAGGTGCGCAATGAAGACAGTTCATCGGTCTGCGCTTTGTATAGCTGTCTAAGCTCTGTGTGATCTCCTTCAACGGCAGCGATATAGTCTTGCCATTCCTTATTATTGGTAAAAACTTGGCTATTATGTCGGGATTTATTGGTGCTGCCGCCTAACATCTCACGCCGCAGTAGCCCTCCACTACTAATACTAGAGGACGCCGATTCCTGTCTTCGAAAGTGTTGTTCCATGTTTTAATGTATTTAATTATATATATATTTAAACTTCACCAAAGAAAGGTCTGTGTATTCAAATGTTATTGGGCCTTGGACAGGTTTCTACCTAAGAGACGGCAACAGAGAAGAGAGGTGAGAGAGCTCTGGAACACTCTCCATATATTGTGCCAAACTCAGAATTCACAGGTAAATGTAGTAGTTACAGGAAATTAGGATCGCCAATTAAACCCATTGTATGAAGTTTAGTAGGCAACACAGAAAGTTATACTTCTTCTTGTATGAAGATAAATCAGGGATAATATCCCCATCTAAGGGGCCGCTACCTTGCAACATGTACCATGCCACACAAATTCATCTATGAACCACGCTACAGGAATACAATAGTATACATAGTGAAGTTTAGTGACACACATTAACACATCGTAAAAAAGGCAAAGAGTCCTCATGCAGTCTTTCCCTCATCGAGAGCTCAGGGCTAGGGTGAATAAACGAATTTTAGAACCATAATAGTGCATAAACCGATAATTATGGAGATCCCATTCGTGTTTTTTTTGCAAATGTTAACAAATGGTACCGAGTACCTCCATACCGAAATGCGTTTCGAAAGGAAAAGATAAACAAGTATAATTTTTCTAAGTAGCTTCTAAATTCATTGATTTGGGTCCCTGAGATTGAGGGGGGGTCGATAGAGTTCAAAACGCATCACTAATTCTAAATGTTTCCAAAAAATACCCCCCCTTTCCTCCCCACACAGAACCCTGCACGAGACATGATGTAGGGGGGACTACCTAAATCGTGAATCGCATGGATCATCGTTTCGTTCGTTGTTGACTTCTTTTATTGCTTTTTTTCGTACGTAAATGATGCAGACGCGTTGATCATGTGCTCGTGGCCTCGAGTCCACTAATTCTTTGCTCCAAACGATGCCTCGCTTCCCGTTCTTCAGCTAGCTGATTTACGCATCGATTTAGCAGCGCCTCTAACTCTGTGATAACAGACTCTGCGTCTGTGAGGCGCACTGACAAGGCTAGGTTCTGAGCCTCCGGACTGAGATTGGCTTCAACCGGAGGGGCAGGGGCGCGATGCTTATCTTGTGAAGTCTGTAGGAATTTGTTTTCTTCGCTTACAGTGGCGGTGGTGGTAGTAGTTGCGAAAGATCGCGCCGCGTGTCCAATTTTCGGTGCTGGGGACGGCGTCGACTTGGGCTCTCCATGGCTGGCATCTGCGTGGGAATCCAGAGAGGGAGTTGTCGATTGAGAAGCCACATCACGACCACGAGGTGTCCCCCCTGCACGCTTCAACACACCAATTTCTTTCTGTAGCTTAAACAGAGCTGCGGTCTTATTAGCGCAGATCAGCCTTACCTTGCCCAGCTCTTCACGCAGGGATGCAACTTCAGTGGGCACGAGAGTCGTTGAATTGTCCTTCTGTGCAGAGCTCACGACGTTCCTCATGTGCTGGGCTTCATCGTTCTGCTTTACGTTATGCATCTTCTTTTGTTCAGCGTCAGTCAGTGCGCGCTGCAATTCTTCCTTTTCTTGAATTAGACGCCTAATCTGTGCTTGGTACCCGTCGCACTGATCTTTCAGCATCGACAGGTCGTCGTCAACGTGCGCTTGCAAATCTTCATCGCGAAACTCAGTCTGAGAAGACTGATGCAGTGGATCCTTTTTCTCTTTAGCAAACCTGCTTCCGTGATCTTCTGGATCACGGGCCGCTTGTCGAACACTACGGCCTGCGCTTCGCAACGTGCTAACATTCTCGCTGCTCCCATGCCGCCGTGCGGAAGGTGACGATGATACCGACGTAGACAGCGCCGGGCTGCCTCGTGGAGCATCACCCTGTCTGAGCTCAGATCTCACCCGATGCTCCATTACTACCTGGGAAGCACCCTTCTGTGTATACTTTCCCTCTTCCCTACGCTCCGTGTGTTGCTCGAGAAGTCGCAGCAGGGCGTAATTCTCGTCCCGCAAAAGCTCAAGTTCCTTCTCGATGATTTCTCGCTCATGGCGCAGGATCGAAACGATGTCGCCCTCGGAGGAGCGAAGAGTGCTCTTTGAGGGTTGGCGTCGTTGTGCTTCCTGTGATGACAAAGACGCAGCACGTTCAGCTTCCAATTCCTGGACTCGTTTCTTCAAAAACGCGTTTTCTTCCTCAAAAAGTTGATGAACCTGAAGTTCATGTTGTAACCTGAGGCGGCCCCTCTCGCATGCTAAATTGAAGCCAAGCTGAGCAATGTCAACAGACTCACAAGGCATATTATCGGTGTCATCTTGTGCGAGCAACGCCCACGTTTCGGCCTTGCTTGGGCTCCTGCTGCCTCCATACTCACCTGTCGACCGCGCTTGCCCCGCCTGGGTCACATGAGACCCGTGAAACAGGATCGGTGACGCCTCCGCATTCCAACACTGCACCCCCCCCTTCTTGCCGGCCGTCCACACCTTCCACGACATCGAGGGCTGCATCTTCTTGATGAACCATAGACCCCCAGTGTCGAGCTGCTCGCGGCTCGAGAGATCTTGCAGGACAGTGAGGGAGGCCATATCCCACAGCAGGAGACACCCCTGTGCGTCGCCGGTCCACATACGAGACGCCAGCGCCAAAAGACAGGTCACCGGGGCGGCGTGCGCGTCCTGAAGGACGGCCTCGCATCTCAGCGTCTCGAGGTTCCACACGCGCACTGTGTGGTCATCCCCGCCGGACCAGATTCGATTCGTATGCGGCACTACTTCCAGGGCACGGATTGCGCCAGAAAGCGCTGGAGAAGAGGGCCGCGCGCCCCCTTTTCGGAAGGTATGGATGCACGCAGCGTCAGCCGTGGCGTCGCGGTCCACACCGTCCTCATTTTTGTACGGATCCCAGCCTTTCACCGAGCCATCGCTGCAGCCAGAGAAGACGACGGATCCGGTGGGTCCCACGTAAACCGCCAGCGCCTGCACACCGCCTCGGTGACCTCTTAGGAGGCGCTCCAGCCGCGAGTCCAGGGCATTACGCTGGACAATGCAGCCATCCTCGCACCCCATGAAAACACACCCCTCAAGTTCCACCAAGACATGGATTTTATTTTCCTTACCAAGTCTGGACTTTGGGTTCACCATAAACTCGTTGACGAGGGCGCAGGTTGGGATGTCGTAGATGCGCGCCGTGCCATCCTCGAAGGCGGCCCACATTTGGTGCTGGAGCGCCACGTAGAGGAGGGCGCTACAGGAGCTGCCGACACGCCCTGCGACGTCTTTGAGGACCGTCCCTTTCGGGAACGACCGCACCCGAAGCCCGCCATCCGTGTCGGCCGTCCAGACGATTCGGTCGTTCACACATGCGACTGCCCGAGGGGCGCCGTCGATGGTGAAGGTGAGGTTGACATCCGCAACGTGGGAGCCGCTGATCGCGCGTTCGATTGTCCGCTTGCCGCCGTCGACGTGAGGAGGGGAGTTTGCATGCCGATCCCGCGGGCTCTTGATGGGAGGGGGGGATCGGCGGTTCCCATTCCATGGAGAGGGGGATGTTGGCATGCGATGTACAAAGGGAGGAAGGGGGTGCTACGTGGCACAACGATAGGTAAGGGTAAAAAGGAGGAAGAGTTTCTATGGTGGATATACTTTATCTTTTTTTCACTGCAATGTCTTCTACCGTGCCAGACACGATTTTTTCTCTTCAATTGAGAGCCTAGAACTGCTAGTACTGTTCTATGTTATGAAAAACAAGGATAATAAAGATTTGTAGTTCTGTATTTTTAAAATAATCTAGACCTTTCTAATCAGTTCTTCTTGTCCAAATAGCTTTGACTCGTATGGATAACTGTAAAGCTGAGATATGTCTGTATAACTTATAAATCAAAGGAAGGAAAGGGGAAAACTAAGCGAGATAAAAAAGGGAGAAGAAGAACATAATAGCAAATGCATAGATCGATATAATTTTATGCAGATTTAGTTGAAAGAAAAGATGAAACAATAGGCGAGATCCTTTAATACAGTTTTTCGTTCTCATATTTCGACTTTACTATCCCACGTAATATTTCGTTAAAAAGCCCCGGTTTCCTCTCCTTCGTACCAGACGCTCTTCTTGTAAGTAAATATTTCATGGCTGTATACATGTACTACGTTGTAAGAAAAAAAAATTAGAAAATAAACCTATACATAGAATACTTCTAGGGATTACATAATACCCACACACAATCAATATTTCAATCGGAATATACCACTTTTCCAGAATAAGAGCATTTCATGGGTATTTAAGGTTACATAGCATCTCCGCATACATCAAAAAAGTTGGTCAAGGGAAAGAAAAAGAAGTAAAATACAATCAATAACATGCCGGGCGAAATATATCAACATTAGTGATTAGCACGATAAACTGAAACGAGTTACAGTGAAACTTACACACATTCCATAGAAATGTACTGTGCGATCTACCCTACTTTTATCGCCTATTGGTTCATTGGTTATCCACTTCCACCTGCTTCGTCGACAAAATCGCGAACGCATGCATACGAGGAAACGAAAAGACCAAATGAAATTATGAAACACACGTTAACCCATGTCGATGCCAGGGGACACAGAGGTACTAATTTTAGAGGACGTAATTACATGATTTTAAGTTCAATGCTTTAACAAGAGAAAGTCACACTAGAAAGGGAAAGATGCTAAAAAAATATAGCGAATGGGGTTGATTCATATTTTCTTTGGACTTTTCTTGTCATCTCAAGCAGAGAAATCCGAGCAGGAAGGCGATTTGCTAAGAGGCGGCCACACTTCTTGTTATCCCGTTGACCAAAACATCCGTTTTCATACGTGGCATGTTGATGCTTCCTCCTTTTTATCAAACCGATTGGGCTGCTCAGCTAATACAGTGTTTTTCGAGTGTTTGGTCCGTTTCCTTCAACGCCTCCAACAAAGGCACGTTAGCATTCTGGCAGACTCTTATGGAGGCGTAATGCTCCGCCAAAACGCCCGCGGCCTGGCGGTACGCCTTGAGATGCGCCATCAACGACTCATGTGTATCCTCCGGGCGCTGGATGAGCCGTTCTATCAGGGCGACGTCGTGCGACGGCGGCGGGTTCATCTTGAGATGGTAGAGCGTATCAGTCACAGGATCCAACCGCTGCCACACAACACGCTCCTCCAACACCTCATCCGCTGCGACCAGCTGAATGTAAAGATCTGGCGAGTACCCCTCTGCGTCAAGGTCGTGCACCTGTTTGGCGGTTCTCGGGAAGCCTTCGAGAACCCAGCCATTTTCCTTCGCATCACTTTTTTCCAGCCGATTCCGAACCAGACTGAACACAAGGCAATCTGGTACCAATTGCTGATTCTCGACAAAGCTTTTCGCGATTTGTCCTGCAGGGGTATCGTTGTCAATCTCGTCACGAATGAGTTCGCCGGAGGAAATGTAGACAGGGCGAAGATTCTTCTTATTTTTGTAGAATACCTGAACTTGCTCGCAGTGTGTTTGTACGTAAGTTGATGGGGGCCCGGAGATAACAATTCGTGGCAGGTACGGGGTAGAGGTGAGCTTATGAATGAAAGCAAAGGGGGCTTCTGGTTTCTGCGCGATAATGGTTCGCATAATGAATTCCATCACCTCTGGAACGTGTTTTTCACGAAGATACGTAATTGTATCTTCGGATAAGACCTTGAAGCTGTTCTTCACAACTGAATCTACAATAGTTTCCTTTGTGTCGAGAGCATTGTCGCCGCCGTTACACTTAGTATCCACTGTCGCATCCATTTGGTGTTTAATGTGTATCTCTCTGTGAACAAAAGGGAGTCAAAATAAAAACTTTTTCAAAGGTTTTTAATCACACTGTGCAGTAACTTGACAAAGAAAGAGTAAAAAATCGAAAAGCGGGATAAAAACTAACGATACGTTACAAAGTAAGAGATACTTTCTTATTTAAGAAATAAAAGACACATCGACTTTTTTGCTTTCCCCCCTTCCACATAAACCCATGAGAAATTATTGTTTATGCGACACATTTGAAACAACACCATTTCTAGTTTCTTTAAATATATATTTTAATTTGGCAAAGGACTCATCTTGGAAGAAAACATAATAGCTAGAAGTACCTCGGTTCACAGACAGGATTCAACGTATTTACACCGCTTCCACCTCCTTGATTTTATTTGACTTACCTAAATATATGTACTTATATATATAGGTCATGGTATGCTTATGCTCAGATCCTTGTAGGTTCCAAAATAGTTTATTCTGCATTACTTTTCCCTGGGCTAATTTATATCCTTAGACATATTAATACACATTCCTCCAAGTGTTATTTTTATCCCCCACTTTCCTTTCCTTCGAACAGATGATTTTATTCAAGTTACTTGCATCATAGTGTTCCCCATATGTCCTTACCGCTTTGGCTAGCAATTATGATTGATACAGATCTGCATATTAATAAAGCATAAAGTACTGAAAACATGGCAACGTAAAAAACACGAGATCGGACCTCGAGGATGAATCTCTACCTTCGACCTGCCCGCGGCATATATCGTCACAGAAGCTGATTCAAGAAAGAAAAAAGTTACCAGTGCCTTGGTCCTTCTTCAATCTGGGGTACCAAACTATGACGTTGCAATAGGGTATCGGTATTCATAACTTTATTGACTTCCTCGCTTCTGCCCTGACGTGAAAAGGGATATTCAAGATCTTCGAGGTCGTTTTGAGGATAGCAGTATCTGCCGCTGTTTTAGAAGCGTTTGCTTGTAGAAATTTGTTGCCTCCCGACTTACATTCAGTTCCCTCAGAACAGTGTGCAGGTACGTAAAGAGAGTAGGGTGGGTTTCGGTTGAGTGTGAGTTATTGTACGAGCTTGACTCCTGCGCCTGTGAGGCACCGGAGCGCTTCTTCGCGCCAGGGTCGACTTCATTGGTATTACCGTTGGTCTCTGCTAGCTCGTGCGTTTCGAGCATCAGCCTATCGCAGCATAGAATTCGGTTGCGTTCCCAGTAACATCGCTCTAACAGATCCAAGACCTCACCATGTGGGGAGCGATGGCTTTCGGTGGTACGAACTTGGTAAAGTCGCGCCCTCGCGCTATTCGAAACCACATTTGGGGTGTGGAATAGCAATAGAACGAGGAGCCCAAGCGACCAATCCAGTGGTCCAATCCTCATCGCCGAGATCAAGAGTACCCTGAAGTTCCGAGTGTTTCGTTCAGTACTGCTCTTAGTCTCGAAATCCCAGTTTGTGTGAAAGACCTCAGTGTAGGTGTAGTACTGCTCGACAAAGATGCGCAGTAGGCGTCCGAGGCGATGCCGATTCCGCTGCCGTGCGAACTCGCTTACCGGAAAGTTGCAGTAATGGCAACTCACTGATTCCATCGCGCCGCGAGATTTCTGCCCGAAATCAAAGACAGCTTCTGCAGCGAGCAGCATCACAGCAGGGTCCCTGCGCATGTGGTACCTATTTCGAGAGTGAAGTCCCCTGAGAACTTCATTATCCAGCCTGGCGCCATACTCAATTAGGACACGGAGCACGTACTCCGCCTCCTCCTCGGCCGTAGCGATGCCTGGGAGGCGCCGACCGCCCTTACGGTCCTTGCTTTCTGAGTGCTTTTCGGCCGCCTGTTCCGCGGGTAGCTTGGAATTCTTCAAGGTACTCGAGGTAATTGAACAGTTGGTGCTGGGGACCGTGTCACCCTCCAAAAGCTCTCCTTCATTGTTGTCCAGCTCAAAGTTAAAGGCATTTACTTCTTGAAGTGAGGGTCGACTGACAGAATGCTCTGACATTTCTTCAGCATCTGCCATGCTGATACTGATGTTGCACTTATCGTCCGCTAATGTTACCTTGCCTGGGCCGTACGCCAAGGAATCCTTGAAGGGGTACACCAAGTCCTTGAGTGGCGTTGTTCCATTGCAACAAAATGTCAAAAGTTCAGAAATAATTATAGAGTCATTCTCGAGTGAGGTGCCCTCAACCTCTGCACGATGAACAATTTTCATTCCTTCCATGAGTGGAATAACTTCATTTCTATTTTCGGCTTCAGTCGCTAGTTCGCGAAGCCGCCATCCAAAGTACGACCGTTCGTCTCTGCGAAGTGATTCCTGGGTGCTTTCCGTTGCCGTGCCCTCAAGTGCACACTTCGAAACATCCTGATCGTAGGGAGTAGGGGCTTTGATATTTAATGCAGTACTGCCTGGTGAGTTTCTTCTGAAGCACTGAGTGAAATGCATACTCGGAAACATCATGTTACAGCATTGCTTGCATAGTATACGAAGTAACGATGGCTCCGGTGGAATACCGTAGTCCAGCATGAGTTCGTAGTAGTCCAGCACGGATCTCTTCTTGAGTGTTTTAGAATTAAAAATGAAGGCAAACATGCGAGTGGAGAGAGGGATCAAACCCACGCCAATGTAACGCTCAAAGACCACCTCAGCATCCTCCTTTTTCATGCACTTCACGAAGCTTCTCTCCAGAAGACCGGCTACACGAGGTGTGATGGAGACGTTGATACCCTTAGCGTATTCGATGAGCTCGGTAAGCGTCAAGCTATCCTCTGGTTGATATTTAAGCAATGCGGCCACCAGCACGGCGGAGGTGGCTTGCCCTTCGCGCGTGTGATACTTGATAATTGTATCCATTGCGCAGGAGGATTTAAGTTTTATTGCACGCAAGAGCTCCGAGGAATGCTCGAATAGCCCTTCAAAATCATCTACAATTTCTTGGTGATGTTCCTCCTCATTTGGCGCTTTCTGAAGTACGGTAATTAAGCTGAGAGCCCACGCATACTCCAAGTCATGCTCTATTTCATAGAGGGTGTACGCCCTTTGAGAGATATTTATTTCCCCGTCAGAGATGGCCTCAGGATCCACCATTTGTCGCAACTGGGATGCTCTAAAATCACTGCTTGGGGCGTTTCTACCGGCTTTCAGACGTCGTGATAAGAATATTGGGTCCAACACATTCACAGATTTCTCCAGCGCCTCGATTAGTTTCATTTCTGAATGAATTTCTTGGATCATTCCAGCTAGTAAGTGCAGGTCAGGTAACGCAAGAAGCATGTCATAGTATTGTAAGGCTATGATTCCATTGCCGTTCCTAAAGTTTTTTTGTATTTCATCCAGAGTTGGGTTAAGGGCTTCTACCAGAGCCGTGATCTCAGCATCAGCAGAGTCACAAGCCATTGGAAAAGAAAATACTTGTGATCGTTAGAAAGTTTAGGTATGAAACAAAGGCAAATGTAGAAGAGTCTTTCTTTAATGCTTGCCCTCCTCTTTCACCCAGTAGAACCTGGGATCTTGACTACTAGACGTTATTGACTAGTGCGCTGTCGTCTTGTTTTTCTTGATTACACATAGCACAACACCCCCAAGGTAAGAATTTAAAAAATAAAATAACAAAAGGAAAAGGTTTAGAGCCCTCATGGATTGAGACCCATAGGTGCAACTTTTTCAGCTTCTGAGCAAGCCACATTAAGGCAACAGAAGAATACTCGGTAGGGAAGTCGTACATGTAGTCGTACTTTCCACTTATTATTTTTTAAAGCTTTGAACATGCATAGAACAGACGTGAAATATAATTCATAAAAAAAAGTTTCCAAAGTGACCACTGATGCATCTACAATTCGATATCTTCGTCGCTAATGTTGCCTTCCAAGCACAACCCCCATTCTTTGGCCAGTTGATCCGTTTCATTAGTCTCATCTGGCATCGCACATTGTGAAGATGAATCTGAGGCAGGGGATGTTGTAAGGGTCTGCTCGTCTTCTTCATACATAGGTTTACAGTTGTTGGTATGACCAATGTGTCTTATTTCGCCTCGGTGCTTCTTATTACCCTCGAATGAAGTGCTCGCAAGAAGTTCGTTGAGAGAGGCTCTTGTGTTACGTGGTATGTACTCTAAACACAAACTGTTTGCTAAAAACCATTCGCAGACAGTTCCTTGCTCTGATTCGTGACTACCTCTCATATTTGTAGAGCTTCTACCTTCAGCGCTTTCTAGAACGCCGACGCAACCATTACAGCATCGGCAAAACACTGAGAAGGTCAACGGTTTATTCGGTTCCAAATGTTGTATTTTGTCTTTCGCTTGCGCCAGTGAAGTCTTCTTGTGGTTTCCAGCGCCAATATTTGTGATCTCCACCCGTAGGCCATTCGCATGAACACGACTAAACACGGCATACCCCCTAGTCCGTGAGTTTTGTAGGTCCTCTGCGGGTATCTGATACTGTGGTGAGCACACAGGATTCCCACACCTAATACACGCGTAATACCCGTCCTTAAGCTGTTTCGAATAGCGATGTAGAGCGCTAGCACCTTTTGGAAGGACGTTGACAGCGCCCTCCGAACCTAGAACAGCACCACCCGTTCCCACGAACTGCGAGACCATTTCACCAGGGTTTGTATAGGCTTGCGTCCATAGATGAGTTGAGAAGGGCGGCTCCAAGCAAATGCCTTCAATTACACAAGCGGTCTCATCGAACATCTCCGCGCGCGTGAGCCAATTTGAAGTGTTGCGATAGTCATCTTCCAGGCCATCCGCTGGTGGGACCAAGGGTACGGAGCTGCCACTGTCGCCAATTTTCACATTAGCATCTGTATTCGCGTTGAGTTGTTGGGGTGGTGATGTTGACCTCTTCATCGCTGGCGTGGCTGAGACCGTTTTTTTGGTCTTGTGTTCCAACATCCCCAGAGGCCAAGCCCCTTGGTTAGTCCTCATGGTATCAAGGGATGTGGCTAAATGACTGAGGCTTTGTAGGCTCACACCTGTCTCCTGTCGTTGCGAGTCCGTCACGTTCGATTCACCTATTCCACGAGTTATTAGAGCAGAATCGTCCTCAGGATTCGAAATAGTGTTGACAGGAGCTCGTGTGGACTGACCCGAAGGCGTGGCTCGGTTTAACGACTTGAGTGGTGGCTGACTGGTGATGGAAGTGTTGAGGCGAGTCTGCAGACGCTGCCGCACTGGACGTCTGGGCTCGCGTGGATGCTCCTTCTCCGTTGTCTTTCCAGAAGAGCGCTGAACGCCTGTACCCCTCGGTGCAGAACCCATTGAAGGTGCTTTGATCGCGTGGACGTGTGGTGTCGCACGAGTTGCTGCTGATAAGAGTGGTGCTTGCCTGGCAGAGTTACATTTTTCACCCCCTGTTGGCTTCGTATCTGAGGGCAAATGATGCGAATTCACGCCATTGTTTGTTCTACACAAGCCATTGTTGGAGGTAGGAGGAAACGTGGTACGAGGGGATGCGCTGTCACGAGTTCTTGTGCGGAATCGTCCATTCGTCGTCTGCTGCTGCGGCATGTCCAGCGGCTCTAATCGAACGCGAGTGTTTGAGCTTAGACGCCGATTTGGCTTCGGCGGTGCAGGTGTGTAGGTTCTGGAGGGAGCGGAAAGAAGCCCACGAGTAGCATTCGAGCGCATTCTTTGATCTTATTATTCTATTTAGGAAATGATCCTTTCTGAAAAAGCTAGAGAGTATACGATAATAAATCTTGCTCAACCGTGGCATTTAAAACACCTTCATTCCACAAAGCTATAGTTAACAACAGCAAAAAATGTAAATACTCTCATTAAGCATAGGATAACATTTTTTTCCCCCGTGTCTATCTCAAAAAAAGTAGAAAGATATGCTAGAGGGTTCAAGTATAGCAAAAAATTCTATCTCCACAACTCTTCCTTTACCTAATTTAGCACCACGAAGGTAGGATCATAACGCGCTTAAATATGCATCCATACAGACACACACACACACACACACACACACACACAACAACT